TTACCAACAAATAGTGGGATTGATTGTCACATAATACCCCCACGGCTGAAAGGGCGAGCATGTTTGGTGGGACGGGGATTCGAACCCGCGACCCCCAGATTGCGAGTCGAGCGCCCAAACCATCTGGTCATGCCATTGAAGTTTTATCTTTTACATATAAAAGGTTAGCAGAGCGCTCTCGTTTATTTTCAGTTGTACTTAATGGATAAATATTACATTTTTCATCATAACTGTAGACATTTACTGATAGCGTATTCATCTTCTTTTCAAATTGAGCAACAGGGGAGTTAATTCCATTGAGTGCTTCTTTAATATCTTTCAGTTGTTCTGGTTTGTAATAATTACCAACTTGTGAATTGTGATTTTTTCCATTTAGTGGATGCAAATATGCTGATACACAATACATGAAATATTCCCTATCTTCATTTATAATATTTACCACAACTTTTTATCTTGTTCAATATATGATGAACCTCTTAATGGATTATATTTATTGATCCGAAGATCTAAATTGAAAAACTTTTCTAATGTCCATCCTGATCCTCTCGTTTTAAACTCGGTCATTTCTCTTAAAAGTTTGTTAGTATCATCTCTATAATAATTTTCCAAATCAGTCGACTTTAGAATTATTTTTTCTTTTGAATGAAATTTCTTCTGTTTCTTCTTGCCTTTGATAAACACAAAACAATTTAACGTTAATTTTTAATTTATTTTCTTGTCTTATCTCATCAATTTTAGGAAGAACAATATTTTCAATATTGAACAAGAATTCATGAGTATAATTATTATCATTGTTTATTAAATAAGTTTCAATCGTCCTTCGTAAGCTAATTATTAACATTGTTTATTAAATAAGTTTTCAATCGTCCTTCGTAAGCTAATTATTAACATTGTTTATTAAATATGTTTTCATTCGTCCTTCGTCAGCTAATTATTAACATTGTTTATTTAATAAATTTTCAATCGTCCTTCGTAAGCTAATTATTAACATTGTTTATTAAATAAGTTTTCAATCGTCCTTCGTAAGCTAATTGTTAACATTGTTTATTAAATACGTTTTCAATCGTCCTTCGTCAGCTAATTATTAACATTGTTTATTTAATAAATTTTCAATCGTCCTTCGTCAGCTAATTATTAACATTGTTTATTTAATAAATTTTCAATCGTCCTTCGTAAGCTAATTATTAACATTGTTTATTAAATAAGTTTTCAATCGTCCTTCGTAAGCAGTTTCTATTTTATGTATTGCTCCCTTATGCTCTTTACTCTCGAGATGAGATTTCTTATAAAATGGTTTGTAATATTTTCCACATTCATCGCATTTTATGTTTTTACCTAGGTTTTTTGGTTTAGCAGTTAAATATTTATAAACTTGTCTTGCATTTTTTAGCAACTATTTCTCTTTGGATCTTATGAGTAAGAAACTTTATTAAATCATTTTTTCTAAGTTTAGAATATCCACTATATCCTTTTTTATTAAAGTCTATCAACCGTATTATAGT